TTTGATATGATAACTTTGATCTTGAACCGAGAGGTCATAACACCCTCGGCCCTCAGCCGCTTACCTTGATGCAGCTACATGGGTGCGGCTGAACTGTCACTACCATCCACCTCGACGGAACATCGCCGCTTCGGAGGGAATGCAGTTGAGATTCCACATTTGCCTCGTCTGAAAGTCCAGGGCTTGGGCATCATACTTTCCAGAATACGGTGGCTACATACAGATTTTCCGAAAACTACCACAGCTATCCATGTCAAGTCGATACAAGCACGAGCATGTCGGCATTTGGCTCTTGACCGGGATCCGAGGTCACATTGTGGAGTGCTATGAGACACGGAGCTATCCTAAGCTTCCACCAATGTAGCTTCATTAATGATCATGTCTTCCTCCATTCTTGTCTTGGAGCCGACTTTCGAGCTGTGTGGTTCAGCTTGAAGAAGTGCGTGCACAATGAGGGCCCCAAAGTCACTTCAAGTTAAACGTTAAGCATCAAAATAAGAAACAGCCCAATTGCGGGAAATCTAGGACATTCACACCCTTAATCTGCAGTCACAGCATTATCTGATTGATTGATTAAGGTCGCCCCATGAGGAAACATCCCACGTTACGGCAATTCCTTGCCGAGCGTCGACGAGCTAGCCTTAGCAGCAGCAAGCCACCAACCATCCAACAACCCAAACAAGCCCGATCATGGGCTGTTTTCTGACCATTGCTCCGGTACTCGGTAGCTCGCGTTTCATTCTCGACCAGGTTCTCGTGCCCAATGTCTTTTTGCATTCCGCGCTTTACTCTGCTGATCCTTGCGGCATCTCAAAAGTGCAACTCGTCTAAGTATACGCTTAGCCAACAAGCTTAGCTTACAAGGTTGTAATGCGGATACTAAATCAGATCGTGTGTCTTCTGATCCCCTGCTCGAGCTTTTTCTTCTCGTAAGAGTAAAAAAGTTATCTGATCGGCAGCCTGTGATGACTGGATCATTCACAAGCTGCTCCAATCCCAAAACGAACCAAGTGTAACATCAAATCCAATATCTCCGTTACCACACCCTCTTCTTGACAGTCTCATACTTCTCACTTGACTGTCTCCCCTTATACTTGAGCTCAAGACAGCTCCTCTCTTATCTTGAGCCCAACACAGCTCCCTCTCAAGTGACTCAACTGCACAACACAATACTATCAACTGTCAACATGGCTGTAGACGTCTTTGCGGTTCCCGTCTTCCTTGTTGTCTTTCGAGAGACTCTTGAGACAGTCATCATCGTTTCTGTCTTGCTTGCTTTCCTCAAGCAAACCCTTGACGGTCCCAATGGCGACATCAAAGTATACAAACAGCTGAGACGTCAGGTAAATCAATAGAGATATCCCCTACACCTGCCATGAATACTGACTAGAGTGACAGGTCTGGCTTGGAACGGGCATTGGTTTCTTCATCTGCTTGGTTGTCGCCGCTGCTGTCATTGGTGTCTTCTACACCGTTGGCAGAAACTCATGGGAGAAGAACGAGTACTACTATGAAGGTGCATTCTGTCTCTTTGCATCCCTAATCATCTCCGTCATGGGCGCAGCTCTGCTCCGTATCGGAAAGATGCAGGCAAAGTGGCGAGTCAAGCTGGCAAAGGCTCTCGAATCACCAATCAAAGCTGGTTCCAAGGGATGGTTCAAGCAGTTCATCGAGAAGTACGCTATGTTCGTCTTGCCTTTTATCACCGTCCTTCGAGAGGGTATCGAGGCCGTCGTCTTCGTCGCCGGTGTGTCCTTTTCTGCTTCGGCCAAGTCCATTCCTCTCCCAACTGTTGTCGGCCTCTTTGCCGGTTGCTGTGTTGGCTTTCTTCTTTACAAGTAAGTGCTCCATATATAAGTGCGATGACCTTCAGCGACTAACTGGACTCAGGGGTGGCGCGAGCACCAAACTTCAGCTCTTCCTCGTTCTCTCAACTTGCCTCTTGTACCTCGTGGGTGCTGGTCTCTTTTCTCGCTCTGTCTGGAGTTTCGAGATGGCCAAGTGGAACGAGCACATTGGCGGTGAAGCTGATGAGTTTGGAAACGGGCCTGGTTCCTATGATATTGACCAGAGTGTCTGGCACGTCAACGTATGTCTTCATCTGACAACCCTTCCTTCCATATTCTAACAAGTCTTTAGTGCTGTGCCTCCACCGAAGCTATTCAGAACGGCTGGGGTATCTTCAATGCCATTCTCGGCTGGACAAACTCCGCTACTTATGGCTCTGTCATCTCGTATAACCTATACTGGATTTGCGTTATGATTGGTTTCATCGTCATGCGTTTCAAGGAGACACATGGCAGACTGCCTTTCGGAAAGGCTAAGGCTCCTGCCAACGCTGTTGATGATGCCGAGAGCCACGCCAGCTCAACTCCCAAGAACACTGCAACAGAGAAGACTACTACCGCTTAAGAGAAGATATGAGAAGAGAGTCGAGGACTCATCAGCTGATGGCTCATTGTATAATTCACTTAGCTTTCTAGCGACTCTATGAGTCTAGCTTGGTCTATATCCAATTACACACAACAAGCAAGTCTTGTACTATCCTATCAATTTTCAGGAGTCCAATCCCATTCATCTGCCATGAACATAGCCTTTGCCATTTTGTCTACATAAAGTGCTCCTTCGTAACGTAACCTTTGATCGTTGGCAATCGCACGTGTAAACTGAAACCTTTTGGGTTGATAATCTTTGTCGCCGACAGTGTGTTCTCTCAGAGCTAGCCACGATATTTCAGTCGGCCTCTTTCTCCAATCGGCATACGGTATTGCGATGACACCAGCTGAGAGCATTGACCGCATGTAACTCAGGATTGGTTCCAGTCGAACTCGTAACCCGCAATTCGTATGATGCTTGTCAATTTGATAGCTTGGGCACTGCTGAAGCGTTGAAAGGAGCTCCTCAATCTCGACCATCGCAGTGTCAGGAACCATGTTCAACGACGCTGGGCTGTAGTCGACAAGGAAGAGTAAATTCTTGTTCACCAGGAATTTGAGCATTTGACCAAGCTGGTAAGAGTCACATGCCGCACTCGAGTCATACCCGAGTTTACACTGTCTCTCTCGAGATGAGAACAATGCGAGGAAATGCCGTTGGACAGAGGAGACGGTGTTGAGGATACACTCACGCCTGTGCCGTAGCTCCTCTGGACAAGAATTAGCATTGTATCTGCACCTCGGGCCTCATATTTTTACTTACCCTCCAAGCCATCAGGCAGATTCCACCATGCAGCAGTCATATCAGCATCGGTATCATAAAACTCACTCCAGAGACTTGATCCTCGCATGATGAGTTCTCGAGTTGACTGTTGCAGGCGCATGGGTTGTCCCAATAGCCACGCGACCAGAACCTTTTGACGCAAGACCTGTTCTGTCTCTGTTGGTCGTCCATCGTCACTGCGCAGAGGTTTGTTTGACGTCAACGGCCATTTAAACTTGAGGTCTGTGTTCAGGACCCGAGCAACAGCTGCCACGCAATCGAAGCGATCCGCAACGATTGCTAGCGTGGTTACGTATGACATGGTTCCACGTGAAGTCTTTGTTGGCCGCAGGTGTATGATATTCAGAATATCTTCCATGGCATTTTCACGACCAGCAGCTTTGGTTGCATCGTCATCATCGGTGATGGGAATCCAGGGTAAGTCCTCGACATCTGCCTCGTTGACATTGATCTTAAGCTGGGCAAGCCTCTCATGTATATCCGAGATAAGCTTGGCTTCCCTAAACTGAGAGTTCGATAAGAGATTCGAAAAGTACTTTGAGTGTTTTTTCAAAGCTCCCAGATTGACCCGATATGCCACCCGGACTTTTGATTTCAAAGATGAGCGATCAGGGGGCTGAGTACCAGCTTTTCTGCTGGCAGCAAGCTCAGCCTTGCGAGTTTTGTTGAGAGTACTGACGGAAGTCTCAAAGGTTACATTCAAGACAATGTCACCAGCGGGATCAATCTCTACCAAGGGAGGCAGATCTTTCTTAGAAGCCTCTGACCCGTCCGCCTCGGCGGATGTTGTAGTCCCAGACTCGCCCATTTGCTAGGTGATGGGTTTCTGTCGACATGGAGATGTCAGTCAGCCTGTGTAGAGGCTTGAAGTACTGAAAGGCCGAATGCCGTGTGTTGATAGGTAGGTGGTGTTCAGTTAAAGAAAAAGTCTTTAAAGCGTGCTGTCCAATAGTGAAAATGATAAGATCTCAGGCTCTGCCTGATTGGGATGACGTCCAAAGGTAGCCCGAGTACGTACCCCGCCACTGTGACGTTAAAATCCGAATTCCGGGGAAACACTTCAGACAACAGAAGCCTTTGGTTTGGGCATTTTCCGTTGTTATTCACACGAGAATTAGTTCAGATCACGGCCTGAGACTTATTCATCCAAACTCTACAGCTTTGTAGTTCGTATACTCCCATTTCCTCATTATTCAGCCCTTGTAGGCGTCGTGTGGACTGTTACAAGTAGTACACGGAGACAGCCACGGAGCTCCCTGAGTCGTTGGTTTTAGCAGTTGAACGAAGATTCCCGCCCCTGACTCCCGATGGGATCCCCGCTAAATTCTCGTTGGCCGCCTGAAGCCTGGGTTTGGTGGGACGTGATTGGGCAATCTTATCTAAGTGCGAGACCACCTTTGGTAGGCTCCACTTAGGAAGTCAATATCCAATATCGTCACTTTCCGACAAGCAACTGAACACCCGATCCTTTATCCTTCGCTCATTTCCATGGTCATGTTTCGCTTTGAGACTCACAAGATCATCTACTAAATTGTCTTTGGATTACATGACTCTCTGATTCTCGTACAGACAACTCGACAACTTCGTTTGGTCCTTCATCCGATCAGGAACCAGCCAAACCAACCCTATACCATCCGCTCCCTCACGCTATTAACTTTGCACAACTCGCCCGATGGCATTGCAGACTGTAGCCTGCACAGCGCTCCAGTTCTTCAAGGGACGCTGATGACCGAGGACTGGCAAAGCCAGCTACATACAACTTTCTTTGTCGAGCATCGACAATGGCCCAGTTTACTCGCGCCATCGATTCAACAGCAACCCCTGCGATCCAGCTCCTTAAGATCTCAGCTCGACCGTTGACAACCCCGAATCGCTTCGCACACACAGACGCGTTACAGCGAGCACGAAGAAATCATAGGCATATCGAATATGCCCGGCTTACGACGTTCTATTCGACATGCGCGACATTGACCGGGAGTTCGCGACAGGCTCGGCTTACACGTCCGGGATTGCAGCTTGGGTTATCCTCGCCGCTGGCAGTTGAAACATACGGTACACAAGGATTCCATACCTACTTTGTGACACATCTCCCCTCGTCATCTGTCCATCCCGACTCTCGTCCTCGTGGGCCTGGTCATAAACTTCCTCGCGATGCTGCGACCCCTCACACCCCAAGCTCCGGCCCAGTCCCCGCTGTCGCCCCGCCTTATATCCCGTCAACCCGAGACTTGACTGTGGTACGCATTCCCATGCGGAGGGCGAAACACCATCTTGGTGTCGCGACAGATCGAGGAAGTCGACCCTACAATGAAGACCGGGAACAGGCTGGCACCATCAGTCTTCCGGCCTTCGCCAAGAGGGCACCCAGGAGCGTGCAACAAAAACCAGGGGAAGCTACAGCAGCGGATAGTGCTTGGGGAGATCCTCAAATCTTCTACTTTGGTGTTTTCGACGGTCATGGTGGAACCGAATGCGCGGATTTCGTCCGGGATGAGCTACCGGGTTATATAGAAAAAGCCTCGGAGGAGTTCGGCCTGCAGAGCAGCTTGCGGAAGAGGAAACCTGGTCGTGAGGGCATCCATAATCATCACCATGATCATAAGCACAAACAAGTTCGTCCATCACAGCCAATTCAGTCGACTAAGAGCCCTTCAACAAAACGCGAGGCGCTCGACGCTGTGCCCATGAAGGGACCAGAGGAGGTTAAAAGCGAAATGAATATCCCCAGCGCAAGCAATGGTGGCCTTTCCGATAAGCCCGTACATGGGGAGCGAATACACAGCGCGGCATCGCCGGCTGCCCTAGTCTCAGACCTGGCCAAAGCGATTCGTATGGAGAAAAATTTGGTCAAGGAGTACAGAGAAACTATCGGTGGCTATTTCAGGCGCTTTCACCCCGAACACTTTGTTCTCTCGCGAGATGACAATCCAGGCGAAGGCCACAAGATCACGATAGAATCAGTGCTCACATACGCCTTCCTTCGTGCTGATCTCGATTTTGTGTCTGCCCAGGCTCGAAAGATTGACCCCAACGATACCAAAGGTGCCGATACTCCTGTTAACAACGATGAAGTCTTCGGCCACCCATCCACACCCTCTGGTCATGGTATAGGGGGCCCGGAGCGCTTTAAAGGCGGCTCAACGGCTTCTGTAGTACTTATCTCTACTCCAACGCCTGCCCCATTTTGGCACCCAGCTGCCCAGTCCACGTTGTTATGCGCCCATGTTGGCGACAGTCGCATCCTTCTTTGCGATACCGCCACTGGTTTAGCACAGCCTCTAACATCTGATCATCACCCCAGTACACCTACCGAAAGCCGCCGTTTGCGACGCTATGCACCTGCTGGGTCAATGGTTTCTGGCGATAGTTTCGGCGAGGAGCGCATTGCAGGCCTAGCCAACAGTCGTGCATTCGGAGACATGGGGAGTAAGCGCATTGGAGTCTCAGCCGAGCCGGAGCTTACACGAGTTGAGATGGGCCCTGCCCAGTATTCATTCCTTGTGCTTATGACTGATGGCATCTCTGGTACTCTAAGCGACCAAGAGATCGTCGATGTTGTCAAGGAGGCCCGCACGCCTGAAGATGGAGCTCGAAATATCGTTAAATACGCTACTGAAGTTTCTTCTGACGGCGATAACGCAACATGCCAAGTCGTCCGTCTAGGTGGTTGGGAGCGTCGATCTGAAGGCGGACTCGGCAGCTTGGGTACCAAGGAAATTCGCGACGCACGCATTGCAGAAGCTCAAGATCCAAGACGAGGAAAGAGGTAGTAGCACTACATCATCACGAGAAGACGTTTTTGTTTGGATATACGGTAGGGG